GTACAATAACAAACTATTAATTTAACAACAGCCTTTTCCCGCTTTATTCCACTAGTCAAAAGAGAGCGATTGGAGCATTAGCCTCAGTAATGATAATGAAAGGCCGCAGCTGCACTGAGCTACAAATAGCTTTTATATAAGGCAACATATAGTATACCACAGATAGTCATAAATAACAAGCATTTCACAGAATATCAGCTTCCATGCCAAGTTGTAACACTGGCTAAGTGTATCAATGCAATCTGTGCTATCATGCTAACAGTATGACATTATGATCACAGTGTGACACAACACACACACACACACACACACACACTGGAACACATTCTCACACAAACATCACGAAGAGCAGCCAGGCCTAGGAGGCAGTGCTGTCTCCATGACAACTGCCTAAAATGTGGAGATCAGCATCAGCATGCTTGTCCACATCTCTGCCACTCTCTCTCTCTCTCTCGCTTCCTCTTGGACCATCTCTTTCCCTTGATCTGTCAGTCTCTTCATCTCCCACTGGATGAAGATGTGTCTTCTTAAACACTTTGCAGCAGCAGACATCAGAGAGATGTAAGAGGAGAATGTTGAAGATCTGTTGAACGGTTATGCAGTTCATGTGATATATCTCGGGGAAAAGGTGTTCATGTGGAATAAAACAGGTTTAGGCATGAAACTGTATACACATACACTACCGCTCAATAGTTTGGGATTAGTAAGACTTGTAATGTTTTTTTAAAGAAGTCTCTTATGCTCATCCAGGCTGCATTTATTTGATCAAATATACAGACAAAAACAGTAATCTTGCAAAACGTTATTACAATATAAAATATTGGTTTATATTTTAAAATACTTTCCAATCTAATTTATTTCTGTGATGCAAAGCTGAATTTCCATCAGCCATTACTCCAGTGTAAAGTGTCACATGATCCTTCAGAAATCATTCTAATATGCTGATTTGCCTTGAGATTTCTCAATCGCCAACAGGATGTAAATCACAGTACTGATATAGAATGTATGAATATGAGCCTGAATATTTTAGGTCACACGAACAAGGCAACAGCCAGGGAGGTATGTAGCTACACAACAAATGATCAACGTTTTTCAAGAAAATCAAGTGCATCAGTGAGCCGAAGTTTCTACATTACATGACAAAACCTGTTCGGCAAATGCTTGAAGAGTTTATAAAACTTTCACTTAAAAATATTCTGAAAATGTTCCAGTCTGTTAAAATGTGTACTCCTGCAAATAAATAAATCCTATTTATCATTAGGCAATTGAACATCTACAAAAAAGTAGTAAAAGGTAAAAAGTAACAGTGGCATTGGTATTTTATTTATGAGTCAATGGTTGTAAGTCTGAGAACTCAAACAGGAATATTCCACATTTAACTCTAGATGCATTCTTTTCACGTGGTGGTTCAGACTGACATATTTAAATGCCAAAAGGAATCCTCTGTCTGCAAGCACGTGTTTTTTGGTTTAGGTTTGCTAACTACCTATTTAAAGGTCGAGCACCTCATGTTGTTTTCCAGAGCTGCAGGCTTTTACTCCCTCAGGTCTAGTAAGTTTGTAGGAGGACGGAGTGAAGTGGTGGCAGATTTTGCCAAAGCCTCTCCCCCTTTCCCACGATCGTTTAGTAGCTCTCTGTCCTGAGGAGAGGCTTCCTCAAAGAGCCACAGCTGCAAGGTTCTTTAGTTTACAAACACAAGGGGATGGAGGGAGTGTAGGAGACACAATTCAGCCATGTTTCCGTTTCTCACACAATCACATGATACACAGCAAAGAAGATCACCTTCAAAGCAATAATGAGGATGTTAAACAAACAGTACTTTATCCAGTTAAATAAAAATATCATGCAACACATGCAACTTATTTGTCCAGTATATACATCATGACATAACGTTTTCATAACACACAGACAGCATTCTTATAAATGAAATGCAGCAGAACTGTCAGTCCAAGAAAAACAAAATGTTGAGCATGGAAATAGTTTGTTCTTGAAACACTTGATAAAGCAAACCACAGTTTTTCTTTATCAGTTCTTTTACCATCTATTTAAAAGAGGCCAGCTTTGTAATGTCATGTTATTTAATTGTGTTTTAATTACCATGGCTTACAGGGATGGATCAGACATGCCAAGACATTGTTCCCCAAGTGTATCACCAGAGAGGAAATACAGTGTGATGTAAATGAGAATTGTGGCCAAATGAAAAGCTGGCCATTGCATTTCCCTTACCTCTCACAGATAAATATGATGTTGCCTCACACAACTATGTGAACATTTTTTTTAACTATACTCAGTATTAGGAAAACACAACCAATTGT